ATAAAATATTGGAGGTTGGGAGGTGAAGAAATAGGAAAAAAAATAATAATATTGAGGGGGACTGATAGATAGATGGTCTAAGCCAGCTTCCTGAAGAAACATAATGGCAAAGACAGTATGTTAAGAAAACTACACACAAGGACTAAATGTCAAAGTAATCTAAAGTGTGAAGGATATTAACAAAAGAAAGTAAAAAAAAAAGGCTGTTAAAAGAAGAATAATAGAATTGTTTAGATTGAAAAAGAGCTTTAAGATCACTAAGTCCAACTGCTACCCTAGCATTGCTATGTCCGTCACTAAACCATGTTCCTAAGCATCACACTTACATGTCTTTTAAGTATCTAAGGGACGGTGATTCCACCACTTCCCTGGGCAGCCTATTCTAACACTTCACAACTCTTTCAGTGAAAATTTTTTTCCTAATATCCAATCTAAACTTCCCTTTGTGCAAGTTGAAGCCATTTCCTCTTGTTCTATCACTTACTTGAGAGAAGAAACTGACACCCACCTCTCTAAAACCTCCTTTCAGGTAGCTGTAGAAAGCAATAAAGTCTCCCCTCATTCTCCTTTTCTCCAGGACAATCCCAGTTCCCTCAGCTGCTCCTCAAAAGATTTGTTTTTTCCTTCACCAGCTTTGTTGCCCTTCTTTGAACATGCTACGGCATCGCAATATCCCTCTTGTAGTGAAAGGCCCAAAACTGAACACAACTTTCAAGGTGTGGCCTCACCAGTGCCCAGTACATGGCTACAATCATTTCACTAGTCCTGCTGGCCACACTGTTTCTGATACAAGCCAAAATACCGCTGGCCTTCTTGGCCACCAGGGAACACTGCTGGCTCTGGTTCAATAAGCTGTTGAGCAATACCCCCAGGTTTGTTTCATGATATGAATCATATTAAAAAAAAATAATCTTGGAAGCTGGATTTGGTGTGAATATCAATGAAAGATATGAATACTAGCATTTCAGCATTTTTGGATACAAGATGTCAAGATAAGTCAATTATAATAAGTGTTTATGCAACTGACTAACAATTGATGTAACAAAGAATGATGGCAACAGCAGTGGCCAAGAAACTAGGTCTAGAGTACGCTTCAGGAGAAAGTTAGAGTCTGCTAATGTATGATTCTGGCTAGGATTAAGTATCAATATGGAATGGCAAATAATGGCATTTTACTGCAGAAAAGTAGACTTAAGAGTCAAAGACAAATACAAACACTGAAACAAGAGGAAATCACAAGGCCGCTCAAAAAACAAAGACATTAAACTCACTGGGGATAAAGTACAGTGGGACCCTTTGTCAGTGGAGGAGAACAGCTGCTAAAAACACTTTAAAAAAAACATGCAGGAAAAAGAGCTAGGAGAGTGCACTAATGTTCAAAAAAAGGGAAAAGCCCATTTTCAGTACACCAGTAACAATTGCAGTTCAGTTTTGTTCAAGCACAGAGTTCAGGAAAGGGCTTCTTAGAACTTGAACAGATGTAGAAAAATGTAAAGATCAAGGTTAGAAATCCAGATGCCCCAAGTTACTGTGTGGATACCCACAGAATAGGTTTTGGTGAACAAAGGTGAGATGTAGGCAGGTGTTAATTCAGCTCAGCTCTGTCTTGCCTTAACAGACTATTAACTGTGATGACCCAAAGGGGGTTCTGAAAAATGACCCTGCCCTGGGTTATCCCAGAATCAAACAGCAGACAAAAGACCAAAACCTGAATAGAACCAAACCCCAGATAACAAACATTTTGCCCTGAATCTCATATTCAAACACTATCTACTCTTTGTGATGTGTTAAATCTGGCTGAGTATGTGTGGCATGCATGTGTGAAATAAGTGAGTCTGGCTAAGTGTCAGGATATGTTAATTTTGTTGAGTCAAAGGTGTGCTAGTTATCACACAATTAGTAAGGGGTGCCCAGAAGAGATAAGGGGAAATCTCATCACACCACCAAATATAAACATTCTAGGTAGTCCAAATTTCCTCAAGCACGCCTCTGCACACACACACACACACACACACACACACCCCGCCCCCATCCTTACAGTATAAAAATTGTAAGATTTTCGGCAGAATTTTAGGAAGAGAAGTTTTTTCCAACCATACAGTTGGACTGTAGGAGATTCTTCCCCCCTTATTCAAGACGTCGGATAAGGACATTTTCCCTGCCATTGAGAACCCTTACCTGAGAGAGGGTAAGTGACTAAGACATGTATGGCACAGTTTAGGATTTTTACTGTTACTAACTTGCAGACTTCTTAAATCTGTAGTAGTACATTTTCCCAGGAATCACTGAGTTCTGTAATAATGTATCCTGTATATTGTTGTATTGTTGTTTCTTTCTCTAACTGTAATAGTGCGTTCTTCCATTGTATCCATAAAACCTGCATTGTGACATATAAGTGAAGTTCTAATAAACTGATAGCTTGAACCTTGCAGTGAAGTCCATGTATTGGACCTGTGAGTGAAGTTCAAACTGATTTCTTGTTTGAACCTTGCAGTGAAGTCTCTCCATCACAGTTAGTCTACCAATATTCAAAATAACAAATGTGAATTTAGAAGTCTACATTAATTATAAAACTTTCAGGGTAGTGTATTTTTTAAAATTTTGCATACATACATCTTTCTTAACATGAGACCTATGTACTTCTTTTTCTCAATGCACTGCCCAGAATTACTACTCTATCTGTATACATCACAAAATAATAGGGAATCACAGAATGTTAGGAGTTGGAAGGGACCTCAAAAGATCATCTAGTCCAACCTCCCTTCCAAAGCAGGATCACCTGCTTGTGTCCAGGCGGGTTTTGAATGTCTCCAGAGAAGGAAACTTCACACCTTCTCTGTGCAGCCTGTTCCAGTGCTCTCCTCACAGTGAAAAAGCTTTTCCTAATGTTTTTGTAGAACCTCCTATGCTCCAGCCCCTTGTCGTATCTATACGTATACATAAAACCACTTAGTATTATGCAAACAATATACAAAAAAACCTCACAGATTAACAGTTCACAGTGCAGAGTGAGTCCTCTGGACTATCTTTACTCCTTTTAATAATTATTATTCACATGGAAGTAATAAATTTTATTAATTTTATTAAATTTTACTGTTTTGCAAGGTTATTTATAGGAGAACAATAAGACTGTAATACAATATTAAAAAAAAGTAAACAGCAACAACAAATCTGCTTAACAAAATCCAAGTCTCTTATAGCTTGATAATTGAACATTTTTCCTTACCATTCACTTGGAGAATGTGAGTTTGATAGAGTTTATCATAGCCGTCAGCATAGCAGGTGTAATTTCCCATATGAGTTGTGGTAACCTTAGTAATGTACAAGGACCCATCATCTCCAAAATCCTACCAGGGAAGATTAAAAACAAGGTTATCATAATTATACCTGCATCTCTAGAGTAATTACGCTCATTATCTTGGTAAGAAAGCTGTGATGCAAATATTAAGCATCACAGATACTAAACCGGAATAGCTGACAGTAATCTGAAACTGAAACATTATATTTGTGAATAGTGGAGTTATTTGATCTTGCCACATACACCATGTCTGTAAAAGAAAACACAACTTTCATTTTAACAGCTACTTATTTTCTGCAGAATTAATACGTTTGTTTATTTAGCTACAATATTTATTTACAGAACAGCTATTTAGGATTGGATCTGATCATGTAGAAAACTAAATCTATACACAATTTAATAAGGCAAATAACATCATCTGGTGGAAGTGTAGTCATCCTTTGAAATGAGTAGATATACAGAAAAAAAATCCTCATTTTTCTTCAATTTAAGTAACAATTATTAATTTGCCCATTTATATATCATTAACTGACATATAAGTTGCACTGGATTAGACTGCAAAATTTGACCCTGTTGAGGGTTAGGGCAGGGCTGGCAACTAAAAACTGATGGATGCTCTAATTTCTCTCCCTTCCTAAAAGGGAACATGCTCTCGAATCCCCCAAAAGGGATGGGAAAGGGAATAAAGCAGAGAGACTTATGGATTGGGAAAGGAAAGCAGCTTTAATAACAGAATAATAGTACTAACAAGGGAATAATGGAAATAATGACAAATATACAGATATATACAAAACTGACATTGAACCCGACTCCCCTCCCAACAGCAATCACCACTGATGCTGCAGAGCAGGGAGGCACCAGGGAAGTCCCAGTGGCAGAGGGGAACTCAGTGGCACTCGGTGGCAGAGGGGAACCAGACACTGGAGCTGGATTCAGGAACTCAGCATCTGGACCAAAGGCAGAAGATTGGGCAGAGTCCTCCTCGGATGCTGGCCATTGAAGAAGTAGGCTTAAGAAACAGGCTTAATCCTGTGATCCCTTGGCTTTATACACATATGTTTCATACCTATATGGAATTGAATAGAATACTCTTTTTGGTTACCTGTCATATCCATTCCTCACTGGAAGTGTGACCTTTTACTTCCTTGCAACACCTTTATTTCCTGGCATTCCCAACATTTACACAAGGTCCAATAGTGACCTTGATCACTATAGGAGCAAGTATAAGCAAGAACCTTTCTGCATACCAGTCCCTGGTAGTGACTATAAACTCCAGGCGTTATCACTCCTAGCAGCAAACACTGTCTGTATAAACATGCTGTCAACTTCAGAAAGTGCACACTCTTAGAAGAGACTGAGCTGAAAAGTAAAACCACTAAACACAATTTGTTCAGCTTAGTTCAAACCAGGACAGAGCCTCATTTTTATTCCCAGTTCAATTTTTTCATTCATTTGTAATTAATATAATTTAAATTTTACAAGCAATTGTAAAATATGTCGATTATTGTAAAAAATGTATGGAATATTTAATAGTCAGTGTTTCATTTTTTCCTTATTTTTCATGTCTACAAGGACAACCCTAAATGACTATCCTAGTCTAATCTAGCTTCTTCCAGTCTATGTCCCATAGATTCGAAAGTTCATGTACATATCCTGCTAGGAAATGCTTATTTGTACACTGTATTCCATGATTTATTTTTTCAAGGACATTTCTTGACTGTTAGATTTTTTTCAGACTCACCTAGCAATCTATTTATTTATGCAGAAAACAGTAATTAAATATTTTGAGCAAAGAATATAAAATAGAAATTTAAAGCTATGAAAACTGCCTTTCAGCTTGGTAGATAATTTCTGCTGAAAATTATTTAACTCAGAAATTAAAGGGTATAAACTATGACGAAAAACACACAAGACACAGCTTCATACTAGGAAAAAGCCTACTGGATCTTCTATAACATGTAGATCAGCCTCTATTTCTGAAGGAAACCCATGCTTTATAAACTAATGCTTAATGTTAATACAGTCTACCACACACTTGTCTACCTTTCCTGTGTATTAAAAAAGCAGCTGCAAATCTTCTCAATATTCTTATGTATACAATACGATTTTGTTTTTAATTTTATCCTAAACTTGTTCGTGGTCAGCTTACACTCATTTATACTCCTTAACATGGACAGCCTCTAAAATAGCCTTTAAAATCTTCGCAGAACTTAAAATATCCTCTCCTTGTGCTTAATGACAGGACATGATACTATAAAATATACACATATACACATTCTAATTATATGCAACACAAAGATTCTTAGACACACAGTCTCACACATAAAACCCAAAGAACTTTTTTTGTTTGGTTTGTTGGTTTCTTTTACAACACAGTTAATTTATTGTCAATGTATTGCTCTCAAATACTTTTTTTTTTTTTCTGCATATAAAAACCTTCTATACTGCAAATCTTGAGTATTCTCTCATATAGAATCATAGATTACTTGGTTGGAAGGGACCTCAGGGATCACTTAGCCCAACTATTTGAGGTAAAGAAACACAATTTAAATGAGATGGTCTAGCACCCTGTCAAACTGAGCCTTAAAACTGTCTAAGGTTGGGGAATCCACCACTTCTCTTGGAGGACTATGGTGAAAAATTTTCCTCTGGAGTCCAATGAAAATTTCCCTAGGAAAAACTTGTAGCCATTACCCCTTGTCTTGTCCATGTGACTTCCTGTAAAAAGGGAGTTTCCATCTTCTTGGTAGCCACCCTTTATCATAAACTTCCACCCGCAAAATACTTTCCTCAGAATGAAAAATAATTGTCTTTATTTTACTTTTCACTCAGGGTATTCACACTGTCCCCTGTCAAAAACTCACTTTTAACATATAACTGAGAATTTAGTTCAGAGAGTATAAGTTTAGAGAAGTGAATCGGGAATGTGGTCTACATTTAGGTATTCTAAAGCCATTACATCCAAAAATGACAGATTTTTTTATATATTTTTAAAAAAAAAATCAGAAAACATGATTGTTCTAGAAAAGACAAAGTGCTTAAATTTCCACAGTTAAATCGTTAATGTACATAATGCAAACTAGGGCTTGGTACCTGGGCTTTCCACATTCTGAGTGATCCAAAGAGCTCATCCTAAACTCAGTAAACAGGAAATACTTTCTTTCTGATATTTATGTGGGTTGGTTTTTTTTATTTTTATTGGGGGGGCATTTTTAGTACTTTGTTTTGCTTTGTTTTGTTTACTCTTGCAATTTTTCAGGCCTAGATGATAACTTTCTGAGCAGCATTTCAGCTTTTTACACAAAGCTCGAAACGCTACAAAACTGAACATAATGTATTTAAGAGACCTATGAACTGATTAAGAGTTTTCTTTCGACATTTTCCCTCCCAAAATGAGTTTTCTTTCCACATTTTCCCTTGAAAATGAGTTTCTGCCAGTTGATGAATTCTGTGTGTTTCCTGGAACATCAGGACATACTAATCTTAACTCCATAATTTGGAGAAGGAAAGAAAAATGAAAAAGAAATAGAGAAAGAAAAAATAAAACAAGGACAATAAAGAATATAGAAATGAGGACATGAGAAGTGAAGATGTGAATTCTTAGCTACATTATCCTCAGACAGAAAAAAAATTAGCTTACTGGGTCCTTAATAAATGTAATGAGTTAATAGCATATTTCTATTTGCAGTCTTTGATAAACCTACAACAATGAAGAAAATTTGATTGGTTGGTATCTTTTCTATTATGAATAGTAGTGTAAACACTGCAACACTATTATACCAGCTCAGTGATAATGACAACACAATTTACATGAAGACTTTCTTCTTCTCCTTTTTCAAGAGATTTTCTTATGGGAAAAGGAAAAAGAAAAATCATCTGCCTCTGAACTGATCAGGAGAATAATTTGCATCCAAGAATTAAAATTTTGCATTGGTCTGCTAACTGCAGCCATCTAAATATTTTCAAAACAACAGCTGTTTGCCTGTAAAACACAGCCAATATACATTAGTCTCTTTTTTCCTATACATCCCTTCACATTTTCCAAATCTTATTTCATGGAATCATGGAATCATGGAATTTCAGTTGGCTCATGGAAGTATCAGCAATACTAATGTCACATTTTTGTTCATATTTTATATATTTATTTTTCAGTACCTGTAACTTCCTTTGTTGCAAGGACACAGAGAGTAGATGACCTTTTAGGGTTAACTGGAAACTTTTTTTTGTCTGAAAAAATATTGATGTATGCTTGGTTTAAAGACAGATAAATTCAGCTCTGGCTTTTCATGCTAATGTCAATGTTACAACTTCTACTTTCCTACTTTCCAAGTAATCAGCTTCTCTGCTCATTTTGGCAGAGCAATGCAACTCTGTGGTTTGTATTGCACGTCAGAAAGAAATAGAATTCCGTGAAGAAAATGGAAAAATTACATTTGCCACAAACCCAGGATTTTTTAATGTTTTTTTTTTCTAGCTCAAAAAGCAAATCAAAATATAAATTCCTTAAGATCAAATTTTACATACCTTCCCACAATCTCGTATTTTACAGCTGCAGTAAAAACAAATCATGAATCTAGTGTAAACCCACTGGTTGAAGAACCAGCCCAAAAGAAAATTTTAAATCAAATCGAAGCTTAATGAAAGAACACATTGTAATATGGTAAGTCGTACAGCATATACAGTGAAAAGTGACAGGATCTTAAACTCTGTTCTGAAGAATGTAACACCAAAAAACAGTTCATTGTTATTAATGGGTCAAGAGAAATTAATCTTTCTAAGCTTTTTTTACAGGCAGTTGAGAAACCTAAAGATATCAATATCCTTTCACTGGACAGTTCAGTGGATCTGTCTTTGCTCATTTCTTTGAGATACTGTCTATCTATCTCTACTGACCTTGGAAATAAGCTCCCTAACCACAATTAGATGCTGTAGTATTTAATTGGCCCCTCTGTTTCTTGCCACTGGGGAGACTGGAAAAAAAACACCAAAAAATGCTATTTTTCAGCACACTAAGGAAACCTTGCTAACAGTACTATTGCTAATGAAAGG